ATATATATATATATATAAAGACTAAAGCTGAAATCATTGCATTTTATTAACTGCGATCCTGTAAACATATCACAATACAACAAGTACAATAGACCTATTCTTTTTAACTGAATTTATTGCACGATTCGAACTTATTGCACTGTTAACATCAAAATAATGAATTTGATATTATTTTCCAAGATTGTATTATTATATAATTATAATAATCTTATACAAGAAAATATTTAAATCACTGTCACTGTTTTATTCATGCATATAATAATATATTTACCTTGCATGTAACAGCAACTAATAAGAAGAAAAAATAGATTACTATTAATTGATAAAGTATTACATATGCTTGTGTAATATGTTATTTCACTTAATAAGAGTTCATTAACTGATGAAATGACATTACACAATCCAACATGTAATACCTTATTTTTAGCATCATTCTTGTAGCTTTAGTTCTTGCGAAACATAAATATTCATATATCAGATATATTAATTTTAGCTCTGTTTCTATCGCATTTTCTATATTTGAAATGAAATAAATTCTAATTTTGGAAGAAGAAATAAGGCAAGAAAGATATAAAACTTAAAAATTACGAAAAACTAAAACGAATAGTCATGCTATTATTACTACGGTTTCTACAACAAATTTGCACGTGCTTGCTACATGATCTATTTTCTTAAAGGTCGACGTTACGACGACGACATCAAAAGTACATCGAAAGGATGGCAGAAGATGAGAGGCAAATTAGAATGGCCGCTGAAGCTATATTAAGTGGCTCAATCAACTCTCAGAGAAGTTCGGTTACACAGCACAGTATAACGCGAACGCCGGATATCATTCTCAGCGAAGATCTGATCGCAGGAGCGAGACACAACGGCAGGATGTCAAATGTCAGGCGTTTCTTTTGCCTCTTCATCACCTTTGATCTTCTTTTTACATTCCTCATGTGGCTCATTTGCACAATGGTACAAGAACATTACTTGATTATTTAATCAAATTGTATATATTATCAAAATAAAAAATTACATCTTTAACAAGATCGAAAACTTGATCTTGTTAAAGATGCAATTTTTTAATTATATATATATATACAGCTCGTTTGCTTTTGTCTGTTGCTTGCGATGAGGACATTTGAGTAAAGAATTATCTTTTACTGCATGTTTTCATTTGCGTATTAGTTATTGATGACAAAATTCATTAAATTTATAATGTATTTTTGTAAAAAGTCTAACGAAGTTAAATTACTGTGACATGTATATATATATATATATATATA